GGGAGCAAGGCGAGGATACGGGAGCTGCGTGTGGAGCGGGGAGCAAGGCGAGGATACGGGAGCTGCGTGTGGAGCCTTGCAGGTTCCTGCCACCATGGACACTGAGGCTCCTCCAGCGGCGTTTCTCCCAGTAGGCAAAACCAGGACTTTGGATGTTTGAGTGAGGAAAAGCACTTATAAAAGAGTGGAAAGAGCAAAGTGGTAAAACTGGGGCAGAAGGTGAACGGGCAAGTGAGGTGGCCCTCTGCCCTCCCCACCCTTCTGCGTTGTGTCTCTTCACATCAGCCGTGAGGACGTCGTTCCTGGGGGCTGTGAGCGGAGGCAGACTGTGCCGAGCGCGGGTGCCGTGCTGGGGGACACGGACAGCTGTGTATCTGACAGATGCAAGCCCCTCTTGTTGTATCCCTGCTTGCTTCTCCTTCCCGAGAATGCCTGGGACTTGGGAAGCTTCCCAGCGATCTTATGCGGATCAGYGGATCGCTTGCTCCCTCCTGGCCTTCGGTAAGCTGCAAGAACGGAGGTGCAGGCAGTGCCAGCACCAGCATCCGCTGTAACCTCCAGCTCTTTGGGAGGACGGCTCCCCTTGCTGCCTTCCCGCTCTCTCCCCTGAGACATCCACTCCTAGGTGGGCTCATGGCTCAGACAGAGGCGGGATTCTTCCCTCTGTGGGGTGGGAACCCTTCCCCTTTTCCCACTTGCTTCCTTTCCACCTCGACCAACTTGGTCGTCTCTGGTTCACGGGCACAYACGAAGCTGGGCTGCCGCCGTGCCACCTAGAAGGCAGCTGAGCAGCCCAGCCGTGTGCCCAGCAGGGCTCATTTCCATTGGCAATTTATTGACATTCACCCAGCTGCACATAATAGACAAGGGAGACAGGCTGCCMAGCGGCGGCTCCGTCCGTTGCTTACACGGGAGTGTCTGTCCTCCTCTGTTCCCACCACCTCCTGCACAAACACCTAGAGAGCTCTGCCTGCCCCACGTGAATCCGCGGAGCTGGCAGTGCGGGAAACATCCACAAAGGTGCTGCAGGAGATGCCACCAGATTCCCTTTGGAAGGATGTAAACGTGGCACATCCATACACAGCAGGCAGGAAACTCCTGAGTGTGGCTCTGGGTGTAAGTTGGAAACCCACCGTTAAATGCTGCTGCCTAAACCAGCGGGCTCCCCGCTGTGGTTGACCCGTTCTTGCTCCTTCCCACCTAGGACACCTGCTTTGGGTTAGGAAAACAGCGCTGCAAATGCCCTGGACCGTCTGCTGCAGGGCAAGTGGTYGGGGACTTTGGAAAGGAGCCGGCCATGGCACGTAGCTGTGCTGGGACAGAGCAGAGGCCGCTCGGRAGGAGAGTGGTCCTCCTGGGAAGGAGAGGCCGCTTGCTGCTGGTGTTGGCAGTGTTTGGGAGGCGTTTTCCACGCTCTGGAAGCTGCCGGGTTGATAGCGTGCAGGGTTGGCAGGCCCTGCGCCGCCCTTATCCGCAGCTTTCCTGCACACACGGAGCGGGTGGCTGCTCCCACATCTGGCTCCAAACACCCTTTCCTGAATCCCGTCTGTAAGAGAGATGACAACGACTGCAGTGCTCATGCTTCCCGTCACGGTGCCGAGAGCCCTGCCTTGGCTGCAGCACGCCTGGGGGCTGCCATGGGGCACGGCTCGCTCCTGGGCACCACGGACACAGGTTTCAGGCGGCTCGCGGGTTGCCAACCAGCCTTGCGTATTCTTGAGTGCCATCTACTGGCTTTCTGGTCCCTACGTTGTCTGCTTGTTGACCGTGTTGACGTTTTGCTATTGTGCTTGCTCGCAGAAGGCTCCCATTAGGCCAAAAATTCAGCATAGATGGCCATTAAAAATCTATTTTAAAAATCAGTTTGTAATTAACACTTAACACAAAATTGCACTTGTAATTAACACCGAGGTTCTAATTGAAGCCGAGCAGCTTCTCGCCATCCGATTTTCTTCCTGCGGCGAACGCTCACAATGAAATGTGCTGCCTTGCTGGGGATGTGGCGTGTTAAAAAATCGCTGTTCTGAATAAGGCAGGGAAGAGAGGGCTGCTTGTCACACGCCGGCGTGGAAAATCCTGCAGGTTGGACGTGGACCTCGGCACGCGGAGCATGGAAAAATGCTGGAAGGAGGGAGAAACAAGGAGGCTTCTCGACTTGTGGCTGGCTGAGGGTCCTCCGACAATCTCCTGGATGKCCCCAAATATAATGAGGTGGTCCTGGTAAATGAAGGGGTTGTCCTGGCTTGGGCTCTCCCATAGCCTGCCTTCCCTCTGCAAAAAACACCTAGTTCAGGGGTGTTTGTGCAGCCCTTTCTCGCTGTGCTTGGTTTATTTGATCTCCTGGGACCCGGCCAAGCTCATCCTGTGCCTTTGCTCCCTGAGAAACTTTGTTTCTCATCTTGGCTGCAGCAGCAGGAACAACATTGCGTCTCCTTCCTAAGTATCATCCACCTCTGCTGTGGGATGGAGCTAGTTTTAGCCTTGCTTGCGGGACAGAGGTTTGTTTTCATAGCCCATCTAGTTCTGGGAGTGCTTGGCCCAACCAGTCCTGAGCAATTCCAAGGACATCTAGGAATCATCTGCATGTTGTTGGTGGAAACGTTGGCAAGGACATGCACACCTGGGCTGGAGAAGTGCCTGTCTCACTTTGGCACGTCAGAAGTGAACTACCCGCAGAAATCCAGCCTTTAATCCAAATCAGAAAGGAGAGCTGCGCTGCGCTGCCCTCAGAGACAGTGCGAGCTGTCCTCGCCGCCGGGGAGTCCGCTGGCCCGGGGGGACCTCTCATGTGAGCTGTGTGACTCTCTGCCCACGGTTTCRGCATGATGTTCTCAGCCCTCCCTCTTTGGAGGAGAACCCGACTTTTCCAAGAGGAAGAACCYGACTTTTCCAACCAGAGCTACTTCTTTACTGGTTTTTCCCTAGCGCTTCCCAATTGCTGGAGCTCCGGCCTGCGCCTGTGTGGAGGTCACCGGAGGGAAGCGGCACCGGCCGATCGGGGTGTGATGGTGCAGGATTTCARTGAGGTGGGAGATGCTACTGGGAAACATCAGAAACTGGAGAGCAGTTGTAGTATCTTGGAGCCTTTTCTCTTGATCTAAAAATACATAGAARCTGTTCAGCATCTCATGGCAGTTCACAGTCGCTGGTGAACGCGGGGAATCCGTATTTGCATCCCAGGGGAATTTTAGCATTCTGTGGCATGTTTGCTGCCAGCCACGGCTTCCTCTCTCTATCGGCTTCGTTTCTGTTGCGTTGACCACAGTTGTCAAAGCAAATGGGTCCKCTATGCCAAGCAGAATCAAGTCTTTGTATGAGCAGCCAGAAAGCCAGGCTCTGGGGCTTGTGCCTGAAAATGCCCATGTGGGCATGTGTATCCAGGTGGGAAGGCCTGGATTTCCTTGGCCGCGTGAGGGCCGGGCCAAGGGAACGCGCCAGGTGGCTCCTGCGGAACTTCTTCCCCAATGGGACTGCGGGAGAAGGGCTCCTCTCAGGTCATTTTTCCCGCAGCTCCAAACCTGTGCTTCCCTTCTGGCGTCCTTCATCTTAGGCCTATCTCTTTGGGTTCCGTTTAGAGCAGCTCGGAGACAGTTGAGATCTAATTTGAGATGACGCCGCTCCTGGCCTTCGTGTTCCTCCCCGTGAGCTCCCTGGGAGGACTGGCGTGCGCTTGAGAGGCGCTGCCGGGGGAGCTGGTGCCTCCGCCGCAGCTGCATCCCTGGCCCTGCCGCCAGCGC